TATTATTATTATTATTATTATTATTATTATTATTATTATTATTATTAGGGTCAGGTGGGGTAATTCGCGCCACTTTTTTTACAATTTTATATTTCCATGAAAATTTAAAAAAAATCAGGAATGTTTGGTATCATTTTGTAGCTTGTCTTTTTACCTAACTTTCATAGAAGAAATGTTTTTGGTTTGATCCCCTTTGGGGTCCCATATAGCCCTTGGGGCGAAATCAAAAAATGGTGGGGTAATTCGCGCCGGTGAGGTAATTCGCGCCACCACATGGGGCAATTCGCGTCGGCCGCATTTTCAGTGTTTTAAATGTGTTTATCATCCGAAATAGTGTTAGTGTTAGATTAGTACATCCTTCGCTGATGTTGTGTCAAAATTTCATGAAATTTGGACCGCTAGAAGCGAAGTTATTACGCCAAAAGTGACACTACCTATTTTCATCGGTCGACAGGCGAATTTTGGCCCAAAATTCGAAAAAATGACTTTGCGCCGATTTTTATTTATGAAGTAGTCGACGCATTGTCAAACCCGTGGTACCGTTGGAAAGGTAATTGATGGTGCTACAAAAATACTCAGTCAACCACCCCTTCCGACCCCATTGAGGTCCCCAAAAACACGCTAATTGCCCATTGTGTTTGTGGCGCGAATTGCCCCACGGCATGTATTGCTGTTTGAAGCTCGATTCAGCCACAAAAATTGAAAATATTCAAAACAAATTTATATCCATAAGAAAGAGCTGGTGATAAGCTACAAATTACATCAACCCGTTTTAAAAAAATATTAAATTAGAATAGTAAAAACTGAAATTCTGTGGACCCGAAAATTGAACTCAGTACTAGCAAAAAACATATTTATGCCTGTAGCTTGTCTGTACTTGGCTGAGAAATGTTCGGTTGTGCAACCAAATATGCATTTTTTTACGCTCTTTCAAATGATACTAGAACTTTTTGTATATGTATTGCCGTTTTCGAGAAAAGGCCGATGGCGCGAATTAAACCACGGCGCGAATTGCCCCACCTGACCCTATTATTTATTTATTTATTACCACTGCCAAAAAAACTGGCTGAATAATTGGTTTTGCAGAAAAACCTGATCTTTTGATTTTTATACAATTTAGGGTATAACAGTAAATAGTTTGAACATACATTAGACTGCTCCAAAAAAAAAGTTGGTCGAAGAAAAAAAGTGTCATCCAGTTTCGAAAAATATACCTCAAAAAAATAGGTTTGGTCCAAAAAAATCATATGGGTACCATATAAAAACCCATGGCAAGCCCCATATCAAATTTTTCATGACAGCGATTTCGGAATACATTTTAGATCGTAACATTTCGATCGATTCCATTATTCCAGCCAACTTTTGGCAAAAACTGATGATGAGGTTTTGTTTGGCTTGTCAATATCTATAACTTTTACTAAGACATCATATTTCTGGGCTCATAATCGATTTCAACTCCCAAAAATCGACTTTTGACCAAAAAATCCTTAAGTATAGGCTTTTTAGGAATGGTGTCTTGGTGAAATGTTATTTTGTCTCGAAAATATGGGGAGTCTACCCAGACAAAAACTCTCAAAATTGACTTTTTAAGGTACCTCCCGAACAAAAGTTACGTTTTTCATGCATTTTTCTATGAAAATATCAATTTTTGTTCGGGAGGTACCCCAAAAATCATTCATAAGAGATTCTGTGTGAGTAGATTCCCAATATTTCTCGAAAAAAATAACTTTGTACTAAGAAACTCATCCGAAAAGTGTATTTTTGGGGTACCTTCCGAACAAAAATTGATATTTTCATAGTAAAATCCATGAAAAACGTATATTTTGTTAGGAAGGTACCTTAAAAAGTCAATTTTGAGAGTTTTTGTCTGGGTAGACTCCCCATATTTTCGAGACAAAATAACATTTTACCAAGACACCATTCCTAAAAAGCCTATACTTAAAGATTTTTTGGTCAAAAGTCGATTTTTTGGGAGTTGAAATCGAATATGAGGCCAGAAATATGTGAAATCATTACTCGATTTGGTCATGTAAGTACCCAAAATGTTTGTAAAGGACCATACTAGATGTTCAAAGGCAGAAAAGGTAGAAATCATTTGATTTTACTTGTCAAACCAAAGCTCATGTTTGTGATTTGCTCATTTTGGCCAAAAATTTGTCTTATATATGTGAATCAATTGTCGCCAAATTCCATCCAAATTGCAATCTGAGAAGTGCCAAATTATTTATACGGCCCCTGGCTATACGATACGAGTCGAAAACTGAACAAAAGTCAACCACCTGGGTGACCAGTAGAGCAAAAAATGCGAAAAATGCCGAAAAATTGCCATTTTTTCGGTCATTTTACACTGTAACTGGTCCAGAATGCCTTTTCAAGAGCTGATGTCTTGGTAAAAGTTATAGATATTGACAGGCTAAACAAAACCTCATCATCAGTTTTTGCCAAAAGTTGGCTGGAATAATGGAATCGGTCGAAATGTTACGATCTAAAATGGCTTCCGAAATCGCTGTCATGAAAAATTTGATATGGGGCTTGCCATGGGTTTTTATATGGTACCCATATGATTTTTTTGGACCAAACCTATTTTGTTGAGGTATATTTTTCGAATCTGGATGACACTTTTCTTCTTCGACCAATTTTTTTTTGGAGTAGTCTAATATACATAGTTATTGGTTCTCGACTAGGCAAAAGAATAACCTAATTAATGACCTTGCGAATGACCAAACATGAAATGTCTAATGAAACCCGATTGTCAACGATTCAAGATAATCTAACAACGCGTTTGAGAAATGATAGACTAACTGGAGCGTTAAACATATTAGTGTCGACCTCAATGACTGCAAAATTCATCGTTCAATTTATCAAATAGGTGGTAAATTGAAGAGAAGTTTTACGTCTAATCCAAACAAGACTCTCTTGGTAGTTTTGAATTAACAATTCATGTCGGGACCAATTTGGTCTGACCAAAAGATATGAACAGTTTAAGTTAATATATTGACTTAACTCAATCAGTTTCGTGATCCGATAGCATGAGACTTTTTACGTCACAGAAATATGTATGTGCTTTACATGTTTATTCATATTTAAATGATTGAAACTTGCAATTTTGACTACTTTCAGGCGTCGTTCTTGTGTTTTTCAATGCAGTTAAAATAGAAACTTTGTGATTACATGTTAGTTCATGAATATTTTCACTAGTTTCGCTCTTGTCACATTCTGTATACTCCTTAAAATATATTTCGGTACATTTGACATCAAACGATTATAGCGAAAAACAGAGAAATCAGTGTGAACCAGTCCTAATAAATTGGCAAACTCACTTGCAGAAATTTTTTTGGCAGCTCTCACATTACAGAGCTCGCTACATTGCTGAGTTCGCTGCGTTCAGTGTAAGGAAGTCTGGTTTACATTTGTTCATATTTCAAAAAGACCGAAATTCATTTAAAGGAGTATACATTCAGTGACCATTAGAATCAATGTATTTTTGGTTTTGGCTGTCGAATCATGATCAGTTTCCATTATTCCACCGTACTACAAAATAAAAGTTGTTGTCTCGCACATTAGGGTTTTGAATGCACGATGGTAGAGGACCCCAAAACAAACAATTCTGCATTTTTATTTTCTCCGGGACACGTCTGAATAAAAAAAAATATCGACTTTGGTAAGCTCAAAGGTAGCGCCTATCAATATATCACAGTGAAATTTGGTTTAGAGCTCTAAAATTATGGTAGAAACCTACATTACTTGAAAGGTGAGACCTTCCGAAAAATTTTGGTACACTATTCATCAATATCGGTTGGGAGGTTCGCGAGATATAATACAAAACATGTGTGAACTCACCAAAACTGAAAAATAGCAAACTTTGTTCGGCGACTATACTTTCTTGCAGATAAAACTGCAATTTAGGTATTGAAATCTAATTTTTTCATAGAAAAACTAATCCATACTAAATTTGAAGCCAATTGGATGAAAAATTAGGGTAGCTCTCGAACAAATGTTCGATTTTTGTTCGGAAAATAGCCGAATTTATTCGAGAGGTACCCTAATTTTTCATCCGATTGGCTTCAAATTTGGTATGGATTAGTTTTTTTATGAAAAAATTAGATTCTAAAACCTAGATTGCAGTTATATCTGCAGAAAAACGTACTCACCGAACAAAGTTGGCTATTGACGATTTTTCAGTAACCTCAAATATATTTTGTGCTATATCTTGCGAACCTACCAACCGATTTTGATAAACAGTGTACCAAAATTTATGGGAAGGTCTCACCTTTCAAGGAATGTAGGTTTCTACCATAAATTTAGAGCTCTAAACTAAATTTCACTGTGATATGCTGATAGGCGCTACCTTAGAGCATACCGAAAGCGATATTTTTCTTATTCATACGTCTTCCGAAGAAAGCAATGATGCAAAAATGTTTGTTTTGGGGTCCTCTACCATCGTGCATTCAAAATCCCAATGTGCGAGACAACAACTTTTATTTTGTAGTACGGTTGGTGTTTGTTTTGACCTATTATTTGTTTATAATTATAATGCTCATAATCCAATGCCAATTCCAAGCAGTTAGTGGCTTGAAAAAAAAGATACATTTTGCAAAGTCATCAAAAAATGTCAGTTGACCACCCTTTGGACTTCTAAGTTGATTTCCACTGTCTTAATTTTTTACATGTTGGAATTCTGAACCAATTCAATTTTAAAGTATTTTTATTGCATTTTAGTGAAATTTTGGGCAATATTTTTCAATTTTCGAAATATATCAGAATAACATGGAACCGATAACACTTTTCATCAGAAATATGCAAAATTGTTCTTATTTTTGCGTCTAAAGCCAATAATTTGAATGAAAATGGAAGAAACAATTTTAAATTTTGTAAATCAGGTGTTTTTACTCAATGTTTCTTACATTATTGGGGATTTTTCAGG